TTGTTATGCAAGGTATTAAAACCTGCCTATCCAGTTCCTTTATGCCAGAAATTGTCCCTATGTCCTCTGCGTAAGCTGTCAAGGTGAGATGTACTCAGATTGATAGTTTTCACTAGGCATAACAAACCACAGAGTGATTCTGTCATGTTGTTCAAGACGGAGAGCTCTTAGGTGAAAGCCAGGCAAGCTTCAGTTATAGAGCATCTAAAACTCACACTGTGCAACTTTATTGTTGAATTGGAGACTAGAAGAATATCCTTATAAAAACACCTTTATATGTAAAGTGTCTGTTTATGCATTTAGCCATCTTTTCTAGTGATGAAGATTAGTTTGTCTACACTTGGACATTACTTGTCAACATTTCCAGTCATATAAGATAGTTTCCCTACACAGATTCATGTACCAAAATTTCTAGAAGGACAAGTGGGAGTTTCTAGTTTCCATAAACCAACAGGAGCAGCTTCTTGATTCTCTGTTTGCTCTTTTCCATACTGTGAAGAGTTATTATCTTGTAGTATTAAATGAGCAAAATAGTTCATCCAGGAAATAGAACATTTGACAAAGCCCTGGATCTAAATAATTGTGTATGCTATCAAATAGAAGCCAGCAATTCTGTGCACAGGGAACTTTTTTTCTACTGAGCATCAGTTTTACCACAGACACCTCTTTTGCCTGCATGTTCTGGCATTTGCAATGCAATGCCATTCATAATGTTGATTCATGGACTAGTGCTAACCCATGAGCTATCAGCTGCTAGTGTCAGGAGAGTTTTCAAGAAAAAACAGGTGTAGCCAGCGGGCCAATGCATACTTGGAGGGGCAGTCTTTATGTGAAAATAGTAATTTACAACATAAAGAGTTGATCTTGGTGTTGTCTGTGGCTAGGCTGGAGGTTGCAAACTATTTAAAGGTACTTCATGATACAAAAATGAATGCACAACATTTGGTCCACAGCTGAAAAGGCACTGAAAGTACCTCGAAAAGAAATTGCATCTCTAGATTTGAAGCGATATGGTGTCTGTTTATCAATTTTGTCATTTCACATTTCACTAGCCAATACTTTTCTAGTCAAACATATTTTGAAATAGAGGCATCACTACTTAGAATGAACATGCAAGGCAGTTTATACTGGGGCTGTGAGAAGGAGAAGCTGATAGAGAAAACAGTTGCTGTGATTGACCTTCATGCTGGAAGCTGTCATATAGTTAAACTTCCTTATATTATTATGGGCAAAAACCTGCTTCCAAATCAAAATTTGAGCTATATGTTGTTCATTGTTGTTTTGATTTTGGTGGTCTTGAATCCAGCTATACTGCTCTGTAAGTACAAGGTGATTCTATATCCTTTAACTTCTGCCACTTTAATAGAAAACTTAAATGTTTCACTTTGACATGTTGCCCCCAAAGATTATCCTCCATATATTTAAAGCAAAAATAATTTTACAAGAAACAGGATGTATAACTCTTTGGTTGATTGAATCTTTGTCGTTTTTCATTTCGAGATTTGGCCGTTTCTCTTTTTTACCACGTGCCTTTCAGTGTAAGTGAAAGAGCTATTTTATCTGCCAGTACATGACAAGATAAATATAATTTCCTCCAACAGTTGCTGGATTCCTCACTAGAATCTTAAGCAGTGGCAAAATAAATTTTAGCCTGGTTCAGAAGACATTTGTGTTTGAGTGTGTGTGTGTGTGAAATAATGCAGTCTTCTATAGTTTAAGTCTCAGTTTTTAAGGTTTATATATACAATACTAATTTAGATCAAAGTAACATGTTTCATCCCATGGTTTATGGATTTTGCATCTTGTATTACTGTATTACGCTACCCTT